GGAACGCCTCATGAAATGGCATATCGTAATAAAGATGAACATGCTCACGACATGCCGATCATTATTGCATATGAAGATTGAAGACTGGAGGCCATGGTAATTAACATGGAAAATAACACTACTGGAAAAAGGATTTTCGCAGACGAGGTGCATTGATCTTTCTAGCAGGGTAAAATCGTTGCCACTATCCGTCCGCTTGCAAAATTAGGGAGGGGAGCTGAGATGGCTGTCCGCTTGTGAAGATCAATCTTCCCAGACAGACGACATAAGACGTCGCCTGGGAAGATACACCTTCACAGGCCGCGCCTCAAGAGGTCCGCCAGGGATATCTTCCCAGGCGACGTCTTATGTCATCCGCCAGGGAAGATTGAGGATTTTGCAGGCAGATGACTTAAGAGCTCTTCTTGCAAAGACGTCATCATCTTAAGTCGTCTGCCTAGGAAAATGACCCTATATAATCATCCTCCTCCCCGAGACCAGCACAGTTCTTACGAAGTTTCTCTCTCCAAAAACAAGGTAAATATAGGGGGAGATTTTTAACTCGAAATCTTCGTTGGATTTTTGAACAGTTGAAACGAGGGAGAAGTTGTTAGTGCATACATACTGACCAGTATTACTCTGCACAGTTATTTATGAAAATCTTTTGCCTACACTTTATAATTAATTTCTTCTGTGAGTATATCATCAAGTGTAACAAGCAACTTCAAAGACGTGTCATTTTCGGATATTAGACATGCGAGTTCCTTAGGTTTAATGGGAGGTATAAAACCAACGCAAAGAATGTAAGTCTCTCAACTTAACATATAAGCTGTCACTTCATCTACTGCAAGTGTTGTCATAAAGATGGACTTTTCTTTAACACCGAGGGCAACTTAGCGATGAGCGACAAATATAAGTCCCTTGAGGAGTAGAGCCATGTGCTTGTGTAATTAATAATATAATTGGAAATGGCAATATTGTAAACATTGTTGTATACATGGCTGACACTTTTGCACTACTTAATGCATCCAATATATGTGTTATATTCTTATTACATGTTTGATACAAATGTATTTACGTAATAATGAATTAATTAAATACAACATTATTGGTTAAAAATTAATATTAAAAAATTTGACGGGAAAATTTAAATTTTGATGCGAATATTTTTTTAAGACAGCAAGCGTACTAAAATGAACACCACTTCGCATTTTCGTAGGCGACATATTGAGAATATGTCCGACTGGAAAGATCCATTTTTACAGGGGACTGATTAAGAGGTCCTCCTGCGAAGATGGATCTTCTCAGGCGGACTGGTGGACCAGCCTTTTGCCTGGGAAAACTAATTTTGGCTGCCTGCAAAAAATGGTTTTATCTAGTAGTGTAACAAGCCAGGTTATGTTCTTCACCCCACGCACTGGAACCTAACAAAAACAAGATAATTAGATGATTAGTCTTTTGCTACCATTTTGTGCATCCGCAGAAGGATTTACGTTGCAACCAAGAAATAGTATCAAGGTATATATTAATTGAAAATATCTACAAACAGGAATGTAACAGATGACTTCCTAATTCTGAACTTCCTGCATATATTCTGAATTACTAGACATGCCAGAGTTGTTACTGTCAGAGTAAGAATATGTAGTCAACTTAAAGTTAAATGGTTCATTTCAATTGCGCCAAGGTGCAACAGCGGTGATCTCTTATCATCACCACTTCACTGTTAGTATTGCGTTGACTCCTATTAATTATATATTGAGATCACTAGAAGGACAAAGATAAACAAAGACAGTGCCAATGCAGAATTGCCGTCTCATGGTTTCCTTGCTCCCATAACAAAAGTGCCACAGCAGAAAAGACCACTTGTTTCTGCATTGAATCATTGACTATTCATGAAAGTTGATGTTTCCTCCTCTCAGCCTTTATATCCCTGAGCTCCTCCACCAGTATAGTGTGTTTCTTAGCTTCATCCATCTTATATCACAATACTAGGAGGCTGAGAACATCCTCTCTCTGGGCATGCGAGGCATCAGGAAAGTATAGGTGGTTCTGAGCCGATACCAAATCCAATGCTGGTGATAATTATTCTGTAGCTATCTCAGAACTTTTGATTCCCTATGCGCGATGGTGTGATAGGTACTATTTGGAAGGAAGGCAACGCCAGGATTTTCAAACACAAGTCGCGCACGGCAGCTGGCAGCACAGATTTACTGAGGTATCAGAGAAGAGGTCCTTATTGGAGAGAAGCTTGCATCTTCAAATATGGAGTTTTCGCGTTGAGTGTTTCTGTTCACCTAGATGCTTCGGCTTTCTGGCCGCTGTCTCACCTAGACAGTTTGAAGACGATTATATGTAAATAATGTAATCTTCTCTCTTCTTAATAAAATATGGACGGTCTAATCTTTCGGCAGTCCTAGAAAAAAGGACGTGACAATGATGTCTTTACTCCATGTATGGGCACCGTGGATGCTGGTCATATTACTGCTCAGAGGGAACTTTTGCCTTCTAACAGTGGCGAGCCCTATTAAGGTTACCTACGAAAGTTGATGCGCGGCCAGCCCGAAGAAGACTTTAGTCTGAATTCCTACACAGTTGGTGCTTTTGCTCTAGTTTCCTCTGATGTTTCCTGGTGCTATGAGTATAGATGAAGCAGTTTGTACCAAACAAACTCTGTAAAACATCTAAAGAAAGGTTAATTAGTTAATTTTGTGTAAAGTGTTTTTCTAATTTGGTTAACTAGGATTATTGTGACCTGCAAGTTATGATTGGAAAGAACTTACAGAGATAACACAACCTTTTCTCTCCACGTCTGACACCATTATCTATTATATACTAAAATCCATTAAACTTCCTACAAACGCTCTTAAACCGCAAAGTGGCGCTCCTATAAATACTCTTAGATCGTCACATGACACTGCTTAATCTCACCGTCGATTTTCACTTAAATTGGTGGACCCAATATTTTAGACCATAAGATTAGATATATTATTTTAAAAAATAATACTTTCCTCCTATGGGCCGGAAAAAGAAGTATTCAATACGTACGTACATCTGAAAGAAAAACATTAACCTTACCAACTGTTCACTGGATGAGAGAGGAAAGACCATGTACGGCTTATATATATATGATGAAAGGTTATTTTTAACCGTTAGATTATATCTATTTTTTTTAAAAAAAACTCACTTCTTCTAATCTCCCGTTCACTACTGCTCGTAAAAAAACCCAAAATACAAAGTACATGCATAACGTACTATAATAAAAGTAGATTAAAGCAAAAAAAACATAATTATATTTGTGATAATAAATTTAAAATAATTTAAAAAATTATATACATAATTGTATTAGTACTCACTTCTTCTAATCTCCCGTACACAAATTATATACATCAATTTAAAAAATACACCCACTTCCCTCTCCTTTCCACTTTTTCCATGTATATGTGAGAACATAATTATATGTATCTATTATGTAAGTAAAAGTCCATTAAACTTTTTACAAACGCTTCTAAGCTGTCACGTGGCGTTCCTATAAACTCTCCTAGATCGCCACATGTCACTATTTAATCTCACCGTTGATTTTTATTTAAATTGGTGGACCCGTTATTTTAAACCATTAGAATAGATTAGATATATAAGTAATATCTTCCTCCTACATACAGAAGAAAATGCGTACGTGTGATTAATTCGGAAGAAACAATAAAGCTTAGGAACGATAAACACCTGAACGTTCCATCACAGCAAACAGACCATCTTTATTGGGTACATCATGCTTGGTGGAGTTAATGATCAGGAGCAGCATGCCCACCAACTAGGTAAATTACTTGAAACGTTTAAAGCGGCGTGAGAAACTTTCTGTTCTTTCTGCTTCATTTCATCCTGATTATCTTATTAATGATTCTTTTAGATGGTTGGAAAATCTTCATGATCATCTTTGCGGTTTACTTAACCTGGATGTTCAATCGTTTAATATTCTAATTTCTGCCCACTTGTATTATGATTTATGACCCATGGTCCTTCTGTTGGGTCACGGAGTATTTGTTTGGAGAATTTTGTATTATATACTGAAATTCTATTAAACTTGCTACTACTTGCTACTAACGCTTCTAAGTCGTCACGTGGCGTTTTCTACAGACCACTCTCAATTGTCACCTGACACTATCTAATCTCCCCGCCAATTTCTCACTTAAATTGGTTGACCCGTTATTTTACACCATTAGATTACATATATACATATCCTCAATTTTCTTTTAAAATTGGTGGACAGATCATTAGATTAGATATATTATATATACATAATATTTTCCTCATGTATACAAAATAAAATACATATCATTGGATCGGAAAAATAGTACATATGATTTGAAAGAGACAATAAAGCTTTCGTCTTAGGAACGATAAAAAAGATAAAGCCGGGTGTAAAAACTAAAGCCAAAAAAAATACGTACATAGTATCATCCAAAAAAATCAAAAATATAATTTTCTGCCATATACGAGAAAGAAAACAACCCATACGTACATAGAACCATTGGAAGAAAAATTAACGATCTTTAAAATATAATTTTCTACAATATAGAGATAAAATATATTATTCCACTAATACACATTGTTAAACTAGATCTATATAATCGGTCTATAAACATTCACATTTTAAAATATTTTAAAATTATGTATCTAATTAGTGATCTTTGTTGTATTCCTTTAATTAAATGAATATTATAAGACTTATAATATGTCATAAATACATCACGACACGTGGGGCCGACAAATAATAATTAGTGCTATGATGCGTTTTTTTAATAATTTCACGTTATATTTTGGTGTAAAAAATCCTTAACAAATATATAACGCTAATTTAAATCTACATATGTAAAAAAACATAAAAAACAACAAAAAATAGTTTTTTCAACTATCTTTAATTTAATTTTGATTTATTTGAGATTAAGATTCTCAAAGTTTTTTTTGAATTTTTTATAACTACTTGATTGGTATTTGAGAAGTGAGCAGCACATGATACATATATATAAAAAAATATTTTCATCCAATGATCTTGATATAATAGAACACCTTAATCCATCATGAGTATGATCATATATGTATGTTTTATTCTCTTTGCCAAATAGTTTTGATAACAAATCAAGTAATATGTGCAACATACTACTAATCATGCTATATTTTTTTATAGTTGAGGAATTCCATCATGTTATATGTTTTTATAGTTGAGGAATTCCAACATATGAGACATAATTGATGGATGTATATCAGACATAATTGATGGATGTATGCGATATATCCCACCGACGTGACTATAAGTATTATCTCACAAATTAGTTATATATTGTAAATAAGTTTTGAAAAAAAATAAATACATTATCCAAATGATTAAAGGTGTCTCATGTGATTATCAACGATAGGTGTTGAAAAGAAACCAAACGCTAAACTATAGATATTTGTTAAAATTTAAATAATAAGATAGTGCTTTGAAGATTATCTTGGTGGTATGTCTTCTTAGCTATAATTTTTTAGTACCACCGAATGAACCTCGGTCATTTTTTAAAGAGAATATTTTGTTTATATCATACTTATTTATGAAGTAATAGTTAACACCATAAATAAATGGTGTTTACTCTATACCATAAATCTACTCGAAAATTAAAACAAAAACACTATTCTGATCACATTCATCTTCTCTTTGTCCTTTACTGAAGGGCACCAAGCATAGACAACAGAGTTTGCTACGCTAACATAAGTATAGCAAGGGCAAACATATGGCTAAGTTGAAGTGTGCTAGACTTACTATTTATCGATGCCATACTCCATGAGGGTGTGGTGTGAATTAGGCATTAAAGTTGTGCTCGAGACTGGTATGGAGGGGCACCACTATATCGATACAAGACCCATGTTTCAAGGAAACACACAGAAAGTAAGTTTTGCTGCTACAATCGACTTCACCCAGCAGAGGGACATTTATATTTCACTTTAACGATTTGGAAAATAAGTCAGACATGAACACTTAGGTGCAGTGGATAATTTAGTGTATTAATGATCTATTAGACTTATTTTATTGGTATATATATGCAGTTTTATCTATTAATAGGTACTTAGCTTCTAAACTATGATAATGAGTTGAAGTGACAACCCAGACAAAGTGATATGGGAGACATCCTTATCATTTATATATAATAAAGTCTACAGTTTGAAGTGACAACCAGGACAAAGTGATCTTTTTTAATATGGGAGACATCCTTATCATTTATATATATTAAAGTCTACAGTCTATTTCACAGCGTATAAATGATGCGATATAACTTATATTAACATTTTTTTCATTAAACTATAAATAAGATAATGATGCGATATAACTTATATTAACATTGTTTTCATTAAACTATAAATAAGATACCCGCGCATCTGCGCAGACTTCCTTTCTAGTTTAGCTAAAGCTAGTAACACATTCATCAACATTCACAAGAGTTTCAGCCTTCCATGAGAATATATAACTACTAGAGAACCAATCTTTACTCGATAGGCAAAAATAGAAAATATGTCAGATGTTTAACGAACCAGTTCTAAAGAAGGTCTTTAGCACCGGTTAAAACACACAACGACACATCGCTATCTTTTTTATCGGTTGGTAACACCAACGGGTACTAAACACCATCTTTAGTCCCGGATCACACTTGTCAGAACATGTCAGGCCTCCCGGGATCTTTAGAACCGGTTTGTGGCAATAACTGATACTAAAGATCACTACTTTATTACCGGTTGGTGATACAAACCGGTACTAAAGATAATTTTGATCTTTACTACTAGTTGGTGTTACCACCAGGTACTAAAGATCGTTGCTTTTTATACTCTTCTTCCTTCTCCAGCCCGAGCCATTGTTGCAAGTGAAAGAAGGAGGAAGAGAGAAGCTGCCAACTTTTTTTTTGAAAATATTTTGGTGAAATTATACGAATCGAAGAGATTTAAAAGGTTAGCAACTTCATCCTCTATCGATGCATGGTTAACATTTTACCTTTCTAGCTATGTTTATATACATTATTATCTCAAATAGGTATATGGAAAAAAGATGAGGGAGAAAAATTGTTTAGGGAAAATTAGGGTACATCATAAAATTAGAAACATTTGTATGGAAATGTTTAAAAAAGACAACAAAGGAAAAGTATAGAAAATGATGAAAAAAGAATAGAAAACTAAGTCCATTTGAAAATCATTAAATAGTTAGAAATAAGTAGAATGCATTAAAAATATGTTTAGAACTTTAAGAAAACTTAAAAATAATTGAAATAAGGATAATACGTGGAAAATGTATTTACAATTTATTAGGACAGATAAAATTTTTAAATAGTTAACCATGACTCTGATTAAGTCCATTTAAAACTCGTTAAAATCAATAGAAATAAGAATAATACACTAAAAATATGTACCGTCTATTCTCAGTTTAGTTATGATGTTTTACATTATAATATTATGATTGAATGAGTTTTACTTTCATGGACTTCCTTTACATTTGTTATCTCCCGATGCGGATGAATTGGCAATGGTGTACACCGTGGACCAATGGTCGAAGGAGTTTATTGATGGCGTGCATTATTTTTTGAGTGTGGACAATGCCTACAAGTCTAAGGGTTTTATATGTTGTCCATGCACAAGGTGCAAAAACTAGAAGCATTCTTCATCAACAGCTCTTAATATCCACTTGATGCAATTGGGATTCATGCCTAGCTATAACTGTTGGACCTTGCACGGAGAGTTAGGGGTTGCAATAGAAGAGGATGAAGAAGAAGACGATAACATTTCGGACTGGGTTCAATACGGTGGATTTGCAGAAAATACAATAGGCGTGGCGGACAGTGCTATTGAAGAAAACAAGGGTGCGGATGATCTTGGTCGGAGTTGTGTGACGTAAAGAAGGACTACGAAAGTGGAAAGGATGTCCAAAAATTGAAGCGTATGTTAGCGGACCACACAAAATGTCATTGTACCTAGATTGCGAACAAGGGCAGAAAAAGTTGGGTACCATGCTGAAATTCTTATAATGCAAGACAAAAAATGGTGTGACTGACAAGACATTTGGCGTGTTGTTGAAACTCATAAAGAATATTCTTCCCGAGGAAAACAATTTCTCGAAACAACGTACAAAGCTAAGAAGTTAGTCTGCCCTTTAGGACTAGAAGTCCAGAAGATACACGTATGTCCAAACGATTATTGTAAAATCAAAGGTGTATTTGATTATTATTCTGTGATGAACAATTGGCATCGGAGATTATTGGTTTTGTTATTTGGAATTTATTTGTGAAGTGGTTTTGGAGATGATTGGATTTCACAGGTGAATATACAGGTACTGCTGTCTGTTGGGACCAGTCAGACCGGGCAGGTGTTGCCGGTCAGACCGGTGCAGCCCGCGGTCTGACCGGCCGACGCTGTGTCGGTTTCGGTTTCGGGTTGTTTGTTTGGATATCATTGATTGTTTCATGATTATGGCTTAAAGATGGATACTATGCGTATGTAATACTGTTGTTTGCTACTAATGAGTCAAGTTGATGATAGCTTGGTCTCGGAATATGGTTTCTTTGTTTGTTCCATGTGTAGGTGAATTGATGCCGGGAGAATATTTGCGGTGATGGACCGGGAGTCAGCTTGGGGATAAGACGATGTCCAAGGTGGTCAGAGATCATGCCGAATACTAAGGGTAGAGTTCAATACATGTGGAAGGTGAAGGTTCCATATGGCATACGATGGAGGTATTGTGTGCGTATGGGATGCGGAGTCGAATTTGGAGGGAGTCCAAATTTGGTATAATTGATTATGTAAAGTTTGTTTCTTGTACTAGAGGGTTTCCTATGGGGATTAGGACTTCTAGTATGAGTTTGGTTCGTGGCTTTAGGCTGCCTACCTTGGGTATAAATAGAGAGGGAGCGTGAGGCTTCCCGGTATCGCTTTTGAGGGCAATTAAGTTGATAGTTGAGTTAGGGTTTCAAGTTTTGTCGAAAATTTTGTAAGGAGTGCTGTTGGTGCACTTTGTAAATACAGAGAGAACCAATAAAGTCGTCATCCACTTTAAGAGTTCTTCGATTTGTGTTTCACCCGGTTTCGGCGGTCTAACCGGTGACACACCGGCTGTCAGACCGGCGGCATCACGACAGTCAGACCGGCGGGTGACCTGCGATCAGACCGGCGTCGGCGACAGGCGACAGGAGCTAACGTCGGCGGTCAGACCGGAGATACAATCTCGGTCAGACCGACGGCAACCAGGCGGTCAAACCGGTGCATCTACTTGAGGGTAACTTTTATTTCCGCTAAAAATTTTGGTTTTGGGCATACCAACCATTCACCCCCTCTCTTGTTGGCTTAGTTATTGTGATTTGATTCTATAATTATATCATTTATTGCGGCGTGGAGTACGAGAACCTAGTTGCATGCCCAGTTCGTAAGGCACTACGATACAAGATGACTCCAGTGATGTTGACGGAAAGCCTTCGAAGAAGAGAGTTCCGGCTAAGATGATGTGGTATTTCACTACCACGGCTGCCCTACCATCTATGTCTGGTCGGCTACTCTCCACTCCATGAATTGCACTATCTGCATGCCCTTAATATCAAGGTGTCTCCAAATCCATGCTCTTTGACTGGTGAACATAAACAACATGTGGCTGGAAAGAAACATCCAGAGGAAAAAAACATGTGTGCCACTATACAACACATCTCATCATGACCTTTTCTTTAATTAGAGAATGGAATAAAAATACCAACCAAAGACATAAAAAAGAAATTAATAGTCACATATTATTAGGTTTCCACACAAAGTGGAATTAAAGAAGGCATACAACAGCATTTGCAGCAGTGAATGAAATACAAAGTTGACTAGTCTATCCTAGGGTTGGTTTGGTCGTGTATCACCTTGTGTGATGCTATCTGTTGGTGTATTTTTGTTGTATGGGTTGTTGAATCCTTCTCAATGAAATGAAGCGTAACTCTCTGTTCTTCGGGACAAAGAGAAACTTGAGAGCATTTGTTCTTTCAATGCTCATTTGCCAACTCTTGCTGGAGTTCGATTGATTTTCCCTGGGACACCACTCCTGAATTTCATCGGATGATTCAATACCAGAAAGCTTCTTTTGGCGCCACCTGTTTTATGGAAATCTTTCTGGTAGCTACTTGGCTGCTTTGGAAACAAAGGAATGACCTCATTTTTTAGGGTGTGCAGCCCACCCTGTCTAGGTGGAATTTTTGTTTAAAGAAAGAAGTAAGCCTACATTTACTTAGGCTTAAGCTAGTTTCTAGACCCTTTCTCCAATCATTGATTAACTCTTTGTAATTTTGTAAAGCTCTTTTTTGTTATATATGAAAATCACCGTGGGGGCTCCCCCACTTTTTGCAGGTCCAAAATTAAAAAAAAAAAGAAGAAATGAAATATCATATTTTAAATATAACTACACACAAATGTTAGACCTCCAAAACCATTCTTGTTGAATGTATGTATATAGCTCCATGAAAAACTTCTCCAAAGTGTGGCTTGCCCAACATAGTCATCCTCCAATGTAATTCCTCTCAATTGGGAAGTGACTTTGGTGTGGTGGAGTAATCGTGGAGCAATAAGGTTCAAATTCTGGAGTAACAAATATGGCTGGTTTGGGAGTTATCAAGAAAACAGAATCGGGTTAAAAGTTGAGAAGATGGACTCCCGGTGAGGTTGCATCTGCGTCCATTATATTGTCATTCACGCTTGCTGCTAGAACTCTTGCGGACAATCGAACATAGCTTGTATGATCAGCATGTAAACTCCACTCTCATTGTGGCTGTTATGTACGTGCCATCTATCCTCTACGAACAAATCAAATTGGAGATGTGAAGTACGTATATTGTACAGGTTGAGGTTGTCTTTGCGTTCTGGTGGGTAACTCAGTAGTTTTCAATGCATTGCAGATCAGCCTCAATTGCGATCCAAGCATCAAGTTTTAATCGAAAATTGATGAAACTACTGTTTCCGAACTCAGAAGCAGGACCAAGATTTTTTTTTCTTTTGTTCTAGTATGAGATCCACGATTATTTGTTCTATATAGGGTTTCTTTAAAGCTAGCATACGTACATACCTCTGCACATAAGTTTGTCATTAACGAAACTGCACAAGGAACACAAGCGTGTATCGTAGTTAAGTACTAAATTAATGTCATCAAATCAATAATTGAATATATTTTCATAACAAATTTGTCTTAGGTTGAAAATGTTACTACTTTTATCTATAAACTTGGTCAAACTTAAAAGCAGTTTGACTTTAACCAAAGTCAAAACATCATATAACCTGAAACGAAGGGAGTAGATAGTTGTACTCTAGATAATATTTTGAGCAGGTTCTTGTAAACAATTTTCCGGTTGCGACATGGATATATTAAAACTTGTGCTTCGAAATTATATTAGTTCCAGCTAGGTTTGCTGCTAATTAATTAAGCTATAAAGCTCAGAAATGTCAGTGGGATGCATTTTTTTGCCCTGCTAAACAGTTGTGCAATAGCTCTATTCATCTGAAGCAACAATCATGCCCTTTCTTGTAAAATAAAAGTGTGGTTAATTGTTATTTTGTGATGAACAATTGGCATATGAGATTATTAGTTTTGATATTTGAAGATTATTGAAAAAGTGGTTTTGGGGATTATTAAATTTTCATATAGTGAACAGGAACGTGCGATCAGATCGGCCAGCCCGCGGTCTGACTGGCGGATGATGTGTAATACTGTTGTACGCTAACAATGAGTTAAGTTGGAGAGAACTTGTGCTCGGATATGGTTACTTTGTTTATACATGTGTAGGTGAGTCATTATGCCTCGGGAGAGCTTTATCGGTGATGGATCGAGAGTCAAGTTTGAAGAAGATGATATTCGGACGATCAGGATATCATGCGGGATGCTAGCTTAGGCTAAAGATCAATACACGTGATTAGTGAAGATTTTATATGGCACAAACGAGGGAGATATTGTGTGTGTACAGGATGTAGAATCGAATTTGCAATAAGTCCAAATTTGATAAACTTGGAGTTTGTAAAGTTTGTTTCTTATATGGGAAGGTTTCTTAGGGCATTAGGACTTCTTATACAACGTTGGTTCGTAGCTTTAGACTACCTGCCTCGGGCTCTTGGTATTGATCTAAAACTGAAATCTGCCAGTCACCCATCTCACTTCTCTATTAGATTATATGGTTGTTAGAGTCATATCTATCTATTATATACTAAAAGTCCATTAAACTTCCTACGAACGCTCCTAAACCGCCACGTGGCGCTCTACAAACGCTCCTAAGTCGCCACATGGCACTATCTAATCTCACCGTTGATTTTCACTTAAATTGGTGGTCCCGTTAGTCTACACCATTAGATTAGATCTATTATTAAAAAATAATAACCTCCTCATGATCTGTACGTATGTGTTTGTACGATACTACTGCTGATCTTTCCATACGTACAAACGTAATGTACATTATCTTTCCTAATCTTGCTCGAACCCAAAAAAAAACGTACACATGAAAAAAAAAAGACAGAAAAAACATACTTCCATAAAAATCGATGGTTTTAAAAATATGATTTTAGATAAAATATATTACTTCACAAATATAAATATATTTAGTTAAATAATGATCTATATAAATATCCAATCAATGTTCTCAAAACCATATTCTAAATCTATCTATCTATCTATTATATACTAAAAGTCAATTAAACTTCCTATAAACGCTCCTAAACCGCCACATGGCATGCTACAAACGCTCATAGGCTGCCACTTGGCATTATCAAATCTCACCGTCGATTTTCACTTAAATTGGTGGACCCGTTATTTTATACCATTGGATCATATCTATTATTAAAAAATTCCAACTTTCTCTGTATATGATTTAAGAGCTACTACTGTTGTCATGTACGTACAGGTTTATACGATGTCTTCTCCCGTACGTACTTATGTGCACAAAAACAAAATAATAGTTTACGTACTATTCGCTGGAAAGAAAAGAAAAAAACCATGCGCATGTACATAAAAAAGACGACA